ATACAGGTACCTAGTGTCACAAAGCAAGGCCAGACACAACAGGTAAGTGCAAAACAGGATGGTTTATTGACTTGATAAGTAGATGAATGGAATGGGTGGGGTAAAGGCAGGTGAGTGTCAACACAGTGAATGATTCCAGGGTTCTTATCGGAGTTCTGATGGAAAGTATCTTATGCCAGCTGCGTTGGAGATCGTGGAACAGATTCCAAGGAGTCGTTGGAGAATCGCGGAAGGAACAGAAGGTAAGTCTTTCTAGGAGAATTCAGTAGAGAGAGTCCAGAACAGTTCATAGGAGTGAACGGTAGACCGGACAGTGAGTGACTGAGATGTGTGTGTATTTGTAGAGTGGCTTGATTGGTGACAGCAGGTGCGGGTGATCAGAACTCAGGTGACTGTGATCGGGTGATTATCCTGGATGGTGACTGAAGTGACTGTGATGAATCCCTGACACCTAGTGGGTAAACGCATTACAAATGATTTTTTTTTCTGACCACAAAATGACTCTAATTTGCCTCTTTGCATTGGAATTTAAAACCCTTTTTTTCTATTTTAACCGTACATACTACACTAATTGTAATATAAGTAATATAAATATTAGAAAAAAATATTATAAGTCATTAATGGAACATAATTATTGCACAAATAGTATTTAGTACCAAAAGATCTCCTCAAAATATTAAATAAATATTATTGAACTAAAATATAGAACACTTATTTAACTGAAAAATAGTTAAGCTGTATGGTCACATTATAAGTAAGCAATACCTGAGGGTTAAGAAAACCATATTAATGCTGCCTCTCCATCACTCTCCAGAATAAAATGATACTGTAAATGTAAAATGATACACAAATGTCATCGACGTAATAATCAATACATAATATGCTGTAATGTTTACCAAATATTGCTGCAAACACCTGTATAATGAAGCTGTCGTCTATCCTATTCAAATGTATTGTCAACGCTGGTTTGTTTGGAGAGCTCCGTGAACCATGTGACCGCGCGGCGACGCCGGCGAGATCAAAGCTTGTCGCAACTGTTTTTCACTGGCTCTGGCTTTAACTGAAGCGCTACATTTAACGATTTACGCCACATTAAGTGCGCCAAAACGGTATTTATTGTTTGAATTTAGTATTAAAACTTACAAAATTTGAAAGCTGAGACTTTGTTTCATATCGCAAGCAGGGTTGCCAATTTGGAGTGAGATTTACATGGGCAGAGAGCGTGAGACCGAGCCTGAAAGCGTGTCTCACGCCAAATGCGTGAGAGTTGGCAGTATTTGTTTTCGTCTGGGACTGAGGACATCTCGTATTTAGATATTCAACCCAACAAGCCCACCGATCTGCCACTTAACATAATACTGAGCAAAACCCAACACATCGGTAATATCAGTTCGCACAGGGTTATTATCACCGTGTTATTTGTTGTAGTGGGTGATGGTAGGCAGTGGACCAAACCACTATGAGGTAAGACTCAAAACGTTTCTAAACTTAAAACGCGTTTTTTGCTTTTCTATTGTTTTACTACTTACACAATTATTTAAGAATATGTATGTTATACTATTAACAATACACATAGTGGTTTGTAGTGATATGTTTAGGGGGGACAACCCTCAGATAAGGGGTTCTTGACCCCCGTCCCCCAGCGATTTAAGCCCCCGCATGATTCTGTTGAGCTTATAAACGCAGTGGCCAAGCAGAGGTGTCCAAATGAGTCATCGCTGAAACAACGGAGTTATGTTCAGTGCGCGCGCTCTCTGACTAAATTCTGCACTTTTGCGAAATCTAGCATCATAAACAAAGTCGTAAACAACAAACAAAGTGCAGATGTACGTATGGTAAGAGATCCATTTCATTAAGTAGACAGCTTCATTTATTATAACAAAAGTTTTTTTTGAGAGTGTAAACTCATGCTAGACTGAAATAATGTTCTCGTATAAAGTAGGCCTAACGTTATATGTTCGTTGTTCGCTTTCTGTATAGGCTATCATTTATTCGCTGTTTGAATAACGGTGGCAGTGAAAGCCTTATTAGTAACGTATAATGTTTGTTTGTTTTTGAAGTTGTAATCACATTAAATACAAATTCATTCCTATTTAACATATTTAATGACATACATTCCTGGAACTTGCCTAAAAAGAAGGGTTTATGTGCGTAATAGATTAGCTATTAGCCTATGGAACCAATCATATTTTTTTTTCTTTGCTCAGAGTTTTATTCTTACTGCCAATTGAAATACTTTTCAAAAATCACTACAAAAATCGAAATATTTAAATCTGTAGTAATGTATAACAGAAAAATGTAGCCTTAGCCACTGCAACAGCCTTTTGTTTTTGTTGTAGTGTAGAAACATTTTGTTGTTTGTGGCGGGAGTTCGAAAATGGATGGAGGCAGTGGAATGGACGTCCACCATGCTGATAGATTACTTCACTCTGATCCATTTCAGTCAATACAGACTCGTGCAGCCCTGATCTGACTGTTTGGAGATAATGAGATTCCAACACGCCTGCGGATATTTACTGAGAAGAGGTTCAGGGTGTGAACAGGGTAAAGAACAGAGTGTGAATAGCATTCCCTTGAAAACATCTAAAAATAATGTTAGACTTTCAGGATTGCATTTTTTAGTTTAAAGGGGTCATATGATGCGATTTAAATTTCAGAGGAACAACATAAAGATATACATTTTTAACAAATACCCATTTTTATTAGTATATGACATCATGGACAGGTAGAACTGCATGTCATGTCATCCACCCACAAACACATTTCATTACACCAAATACACAAAATAATGTTCTTTTTAGCTACATCATATGACCCCTTTAATTATTTTAAACTTGTGCTTGAGTTTCAAAGTATTGGATGGTTTTCAGCTTCAACTTTGTAGTGAACATGATCATTAATCATTTAGTGGAAAAGATATAAATAGTTTAGAAAAGATGAGATTCACTAATTAAATCTGACACTGTATATACAGAATGATGCATCTGACCTGTTAGACCCCTGCAAAAACAGAAATGCTGTGCTGCAGAGATCATGGTGGGTCATGAACTGAGTGTTATACAACATTTGACTCATCAAACTTTTAATAGATTTCACATGTATGACATGAATTCTCATGTACTATCAATCACAACAAAACAGACTGCATTCTTACATGCATTTTAAACAGTTCTCTTCATTCTCAAGTTGAGCAACTATAATTGCAATTTTGTACAGGTACACGGACTGAAGAACCAAACAATATATTAGATATTTTACAATTACAAGAACAGAACTATGTAACTTAAAGTAATTCCATCTAGGATTAAAAGAAAGGTCTTTTACTATTCATCTTGTCAATAATTGACTGACTGAAAGTCACCTAATTTACAATATTTCAATCCACACAAGCTAACTCCATATTGTTGAAGATATTTTATTCACATTTAAAGTAATAGTTTATACAAATATACAAATTCTGTCAATTTTTACTTACTATGATGCCACCCCAAACTGTATGATTTTCTTTCTTCTGTGGAACACAAAGGAATTTTTCCTGTTATTTAGGAAATAATGACATGTATGTATAAAAAATTATAAGTCATTAAAAACGGGGGGAAATGTTAATATTGTGAAATATTATTATGATATAAAATAAAGGTTTACTATTTTAATACATTAAAAAATATATCATTTATTCCTGTGATGCTAAGCTGAATTTTTAGTATTCATTGCTCTAGCCCTAAGTGTCACATGATAAAATATGCTGATTTGGCGCTCCATTTTATTTATTTTTTATTTTGATAGACCAGTCTTCATTAAGTTTCACTGTACTATAGAAAACAAAATATTATCTCACTATGACTTTTGCCTCAATAAACTCCTAATTTGCTGTTTATTAATAGTAAGGTAGTTGTTAAAATTAAGGGATCTAAAATAAGGGCATGCAAAATAAGAGTATTGGGTAGGATTAGGGATGTAGAATATGGTCATGCAGAATGTGCTTTATAAGTACTAATAAACAGCTAATATGTTAATAATAAGCATATTAATAAGCAACTACTTAATTGTGAGAATTGGTCCTTATACTTGTAGCGTCTGCGTAGAATCATGTATGATCTTTGGGGTTTTATGGCTTAAGAGCCCCTTTTAGCCTGTGACATTTGCATATAAATTACAGTCCTGGTCACAGACTTTACACTTATATGGGTGCTAAATGGCCAATGGTTCCCCCCCACTATCAAGGAGATGCTAAACAGTTTCACCACTATCATCTCCCCATCTGATTTCAAACACTCTCCAAAGAGATGTAAATGACCCCGATGCCAGGCACCAATGGGCCTGGCTGACCAAGCAAACTAACACACACGCAAACAAACACACGTAAAGACCTTTTACTCTATTCTACTCTACAAATATATCTGGTATATTGCATGTGTTGTTTGTACGTTGATTCTGCTACAGTTAATTCGAAGATCTAATCTAAATATTTATTATTAATCATAACCAGTTATAATTAGTCATAAATATTTCCCTTTTGAGCTGATTTACTACATACTAAAGTGTTAACAGACATTCTAAATATTAATTTTATGTATTTCACAAGAATGGGACAACACTTCATTTCCCAGAATGCATTACCTGTTTTGAATTTCTTTGAACCACTATTCAGCAAATTCCTCTTCCTGTCATTCCAATTCAAATTACAGTTGAACTTCCTGTAGGGTGTGGCCAATTCAATTCACATTCCAGCTCAACGAAAGGAAGGAATTTTTCTCCAACTTGTTTTAAAGACAAGATGGTGAGTAAATGATGACAATTATAATTTCATGGGTGAACTATTCCATGGGTGACTTAACATTGAGCAAAGAAGTACTCAGTTCGCTAACATAGCATTAGCATCATTGTACCATTAGCTTAACCTCAACCTACATATAATAATTGCTGCCATTATCAAAATGAAGCTTTGATTCGGAGTATTATAAATTTGACATTTTTCACAGGTTTTGCATCCTTGTGTTTTACTATAGAACCATTACATTACTGTAAGTTTACTCAGTGTTTACAAAGCTACAATCTCATTTATATTGCCATGAATTTCATATTAGGTGGAATCAAGGTATCTGGGCATACATAGCACGCATGTGTCAAGAAGAGTTTGTATTAGTGTTAGTGCGAAGCCTCTGTAGCTCTTCCTCCAGGGTGTTGATCCTCTCCAGTAGACTGGCTCTGTCCTGCAGAGCTTTCTGTTCTGCCACCTTCTGCGCTTCCTGGATCTTCCTCTCGTACCAGCGTTCCAGCTGTGTGGAGACTGTCTCAAAGAAACGCTGTGCCACCTCCACAGCGTGCAAGTTTGCCCGCTCTTGGGTGAAGGTGGCCTCCACGGGCCGCTGGGAAAACACCTCCATGGTCTTCATGGTGTTGCTCTGCTGGGTTTGAGCGTGATGTGCTTTAATCCTGTCCTTCAGGTGCCTGCTGTGTTTCCAGGCCGGGCCGGGTGCTGGTTCTCTTTTGCTGTCGTTGAAACGCTTGCTGGATGTGGACAGGCTGCTGCTGCTGCTGCCACTGCTGTCGCAGAGTTCATCCCCTTTGTCTGACCTGGACTTTGAGACATCAACCTCCTGCACTTCTGCTCGCTGCCACTTGGGGTCAGCAGTCGCCAGCTTCCGTGATAGAGGTTTGTGTTTGACCATTGAAGGAGCTGTCAGGTTATGATATTCACCTGTATGAATGAAGAAAGATATTTTAGAAAAAAAAAAGAATTTCTCTCTGTCAAATATCTTTCTTTCTTTCTTTCTGACTGTTACGTAATCTCATTAAATATATTTTACTCATTTAAATCAGGTTTTATTTTAGAGTAGAGCATAATAAAAACAAAAAATCACTTAAAATAATATAATAAAGTTAACATAATAAAAAAGTGCTTAAAGTCAACATGAAATAAAAAACAAACCCTATTTACTTTCTTAAAATATTTAGTTTGGTCTTTATGAACAATTAATCAGTGATTCTTAATTTTGAGTATCCCGGTTCACTCAGAAATACAGTATGTCACATTATGGCAATAAAATGGGTTGGGGAGGCCAGTTCATGTTCACTTTAGCATAAGTGAAACAAATATACTAAAAAGAATATAAATAAAAATACATTGTATTCTATATAAATTTTCTAAAAACTAGTCTTAACAGCTTAACATATATTTATAATTTACGTGTACCAGTAAATATT